AAAATCAATGCATTTTTCTGAGAAACTATTCCATTTTTTACTTCTATTGCTTGTCTAATTCAAACAAACAAAATTTATGTACGTAGATAAATAAAAGAAAATTTTTTGCTAACAAAGACAGTGATGCACTTTATATGCAAATGTGGATGTTGAAAGTCGATATTAAAACCACGCAACAATAAAATAATCATTGTATAATCTTTGACTAAATTTCATAGAAGAATGAATAAAAATATGTCAGACTCACTAACGAATTTCATGTAAAAACAGGAAAAAAATTTAATATTTTAAAACTTTCCTTATTTCTGTGATGACATGCATTTTTTCTTTGATTTTAAATAGCCTACGCAAAATGTTGTCAGTTCATAATTGAATTTCCTATGTTTTAAGCTATGTAGGCAGTTTTAGTGCATTTTTATATTTTGAATTTGATTATGTGTTATTTATTTTTATAGTTTAACCTATATTTTAGGTCATAACAGTTAACCTTTCAGGGGGTTTAAATAAGTTACGCCCATGAAGTTTTCCCCATTATATCTCTGCTAAAAAAGGTGTTGCCGAATTACTTCAGTTATAGGAATCTAATCACCTCATTTTCCCCAGAACATTAAAAAATTGGTGGTAAATTTACTTAGTTTCTGCCAATAACAGAGCTCCAAATCCAAAAGTTCCATTTCCCTACTACATTTATCAGAAGGAAAAAAAAATTCAAATGCTCAACTGTGTTAACATTTCGTCAACTCAAGCACTAACAGGGCAAACATGTTGTCCACTATTTCAGGGGCACCATATTAGGTTATCCAACGTTGCTCCCACAGTAAAGACAGATAGTACGAAAAATGAAAAAACATCCCTGCCTTGCCCGGATTCGAACCCAGAACTTTTCTGATGCAAGGTCAGTTCGCTGACCCCTGTACAGTCCGGTCGGCTTTGAAATAAAAATAAAAAATGCAAAAAAATTTTTAAAAAAATATTAGCAGCTACAAGTATCACAAGCACATTATGCTTTATACAGTCGCAAGCCAATCTAAGGTATTTACGGGCACTGAGTATCTTATAAGTTTAATAAGATTTTATTTTAAAACCTTTATAACCAGTGTTGAGCAGCTGATCCAATTTCCAACTTCATACTCTTATAATTTTGAACACAAACCGGAAGACAAGGGAACTCTAGGATCAAGCATTGGGACAAACTAGCCATCGGGGATGGCATTTTGATGGAACTAATCTGCATTTTCGTTTCAAGGAGAAAAAACCACGAAAACCTCCCACTGTTAGCCAGACGAGAAGGGGATTCTAACCCATGACCTGTCTACCACTGAGAATATTTTACGTCAGTACTGTCTTCGGTGATAGCCAGGAGAATAATTCGTATCTACCAGCCACTGCTGAGATTCGAACCTCGATCACCTCATTGGGAGACGAAAGTTCTATCCGCTGAGCAATCGCAGCGCTGAGTAATCATAGTTGATGTTGGTATTAGAGACAATAATGCAGAAAAATGAAATTTAAAAACATTGCTTCTTACGAGTCCCACTCTTCTAGATAAAAAACAAAAGTCCGACAAATAGAGCAAAAGTTATTAAGAATTACATAGGAAGTGTAAAAAGGAGTGAAGAATAAGAAGGAAAATATTAAGAATCTCTCTTAAAAAGATTTTATAAGCGATATTTTCATGCAAGTTATTATTCAATTGGAATAAAAAAAAATTACGAAATTACAAATATTTTTTGTGATAATAACTTTCCTTAGCTAAGGAGAAATACATTTTAAGTAATTACATTGAATAGTTCAATGCGTATAGAAACATAATACATTTTTATCAAGGACAGTCATATTTAAAACCATACATTTTGGTTTCAACTGAACTCAACCTCTTAAAAATATGATACATCAAACAACTTTTATGGGTAATGTTTTTGCGTGATGCTTTCAAAAATTGAAACATTAAAGATGAAGGCTATCAAAATATATGAAAACTGAAACCTTGAGACTTACAATTTCTACAATCTTAATTGCTAGTGAATGGTTGGGCAGTTAACATTCACGCGTGCATGAATTTCAAAAGCAAACATGCAAAGCCATTAAATATTTATTTAACTTAAACTATAAAATAATGCATTACAAGCCAATGAAGCTTTCGACAAATTTCACGCCTAAGGCAGGAAGCGTTAAATTTATAAGCGCAACCTTGTAAGATGTTTTGTTGTGGCCAAGAAAGAAAAGTAACTGTTATGGACTATAAAAAAATTATATGTCTGTTCTACTGTTAAAAGTTTACTAGAAAATTGGTTAAAGAAAAATATATAGTTGCAGAAAATATAGGAGTATGTAAGATAAGATAAAATAGTTTACTGATTGAAATATTTTAATTTATGAAATCGTTTTTCGGATAATTTGGATTTCTATCCTTTTGTTTTTTTTAGGGCACTAAACTTGCAAATTATACAGCGATGATTTTTTGCGTTATCCCTTTACAACAGATAAGACTTTCGTAATATATTTTTTTTCTGATGATCTAATTACCAGTAAAAATATATTTTGGTATTTTTTAAATTGTAAAGAGCAATCTAATAGTTACCAAAAAAAAATCTGTTAGATTTTCAGAATTATATTAACTCTTAAAATCCGAAATCCAAAATAAATAGTTAGAATTTCTTTTTTCCTTCATAATCAAAAATTTGACAATAAATGATTTTGTAAATTGAAGAAATTTCAATGATAAATTATTGCTTCGCATCGATCTTAACTGCAAATAAGTACAAATTTGAATTATTATTGTTTGGAAACCATGTATCGAAAATTTTGCCTTTAACGCAAAAAAGGACACCGGAGTCCGATACTGTATTTCTCAATCAAAATTTGTTCAAATGATAAATATAATATTTTACACTTATTTTGAGACATACTATTATAAAATAATAAAAAAGGTACAAATAGAGCCCCTGAATTAGACAGGTCGACTTATCATTTATTGTTGGAGCAAAGAGCTAACATAAGCACAGCGAATAAATATTTTAAAGTGGTAGTTTATTAATTGTAATTCTTGGCTTAATAAGTTTGATTTAGTAGAGTTCAATCCACCACTATTTCTAAACAATGCGTAGGCTTATATAATTCACCACTTTATAGTACTTGCATACCCTCCAACTGCTACGGAATTTCCGTAGTTTCAGAAATCTTCTTTTCTGACGGTAGCAAAATTAATGTCTTAATATTTAGAAAAAATTAATTTTAGCGTAACTTGTCCACTATTACTTATAAAAGTGCAGGCCATATGGCTAGATTCTTAAGTTCTGATAAAAGTTTAATGAGAGATCCATTTGCTTTAAAAATTTCTACTTTGGTTCGCTACCACTAGAAAGAATTATTTTCAAAATCCTCATAAGTTGGAGGGTATGTTACTTGTGATATGCTTTACATTTTTAAAAGCAAGCAAATATTGTCAACTATTTGCAAAATTTACTTTGTACTTATTTACCGTTTTTTAAATTATTTTGGCGTGTCCAGAGCAGTTGACATATCTGTAATAACATAACTAATACTAACATAACGTTAACTTGCGAACTTGCTTGCTCCAATATTGCTTGATAGGTCAGCTCTGATAGTAGAGGAGCCTTAGGTATAAAAAATATGTTTAATGGAAATTCTACGTCAAAGGGTTAAGAAAGTTTCTCATTATCCAAGTGTAAAAGAAACGTAACTGAAATTTTAGAAAATAAAAATAATTATATAACACGTTCACGCTGGATGTTGCGCCTGAAAGCGGGACGGAAAAGAGAAAATACTGGTAGAAGAACTATTTCAATATTAGATAATATTCGGGAGGAGTTAATCTATTCTCAACAATAACAATTCACTGTAAGGAAATTTATCACGGCGAAGAAGCAATTCAATATAAAAATTGCATCCGTTAAAAACAATTGGTAGTTATGGATTTTGGATTTTTATTATTCCCGGAAAAAAACTAAAAAATGAAATTTATATGTTACCAGTTTTTACTCCGGTTCGACAATCGAGCGTGACCCACCGGTGGGTCACCCCGGCGTGAACGTGTTAAGGGAGCTGTTTGCACCCGAAAAAAAGGTAGAAACTGGTAGTAAAACTATTTCATATTTAGCTTGTTTACGGTACGAATAAAAGAATCCTGATACTGGAATAAGAAAATAACTGTTAATATTTCTCCCTATCCATGGGTATTTTATTCTTTTAAAACAAACTAGATGGGAAATAGTTTTAATGGTGGGCCTTTTATCTCCTTTAAGGGGAGCGAACTATCTTGACTTTACTCAACATTTAAAAAAAAATTATTGAATGAAAGAGTAAATTTTTATGAGAATATCAAAAAATTTAATTTTTTCTTTACTTTTAGAGTTTGCAGAAGATGAATGAAACCTTGACTTAAACACATATAAGTGCACACAAAATATACTTTAAATATCTTATATTATCTTGTGCAGTTTTTAAAGCAATGATTGTGTAACCAATTGCAAATTTATCCAAAAGTTTTGCCTAATTTTTTTGAATATTTAGACTTATGCATAATATATCGAGATATTAGTTACAGCAAAAAACAAAAAAATTAATTTCTTTTTTAATTAAAGTGTCCATATCTGTACATCCAAACCCTGTACATAGCTCACCATTCGTCATTACTCATAACAAAAAAATATTGCAAGATGGTCTTTTTTAAGTATGTTTAAGCTATTTAAATGCATCGGTAGTTTAAAGTTATTCAATTAAATTTGTTAAAACAGGAACTTACCAACATTTAGTTTAACGATATGATCTTGATCAATTGAAATTTGGCCCAGGGAAGGGAAATTTTTTTAGGAACTTTGATTACTTATTGAACTATTTGTTTGAGTCCCAATACTTCAATATTAAAATATTAAGCCAAATGAATATTGCAATTTACAAATTAACTTGAATTTTTTATTTCATAATTTCATTGATTTGGAATTATTTTTCCAGCCACTAATTTTCTTTCTTATTTCTAGTTGGTGATGAAGTATGCATTAAAGAATTGGGTTGTTTCAAATTAGGTAAAGACTTTTATCATCCACAATACCGACCATGCAATTTGTTACCAGAACCTCGTAGCTTAATTTATACACGTTTTGTGCTTTTTACAAGGAACAATGTACACCAGGGCAAATTTTTAAATGCTGATAATCAAACAAGTATTTCCGAATCTGGATTCAATGCAAATCACTCCACCAAATTCATTATCCATGGATACCAAGAGAATCCTTTACATGATCCATGGGTTTTGGTAAGTTTTTTTACTTTCTATTTAGTCTTGAAATTTTGATCTGTTTCTATTTATTTTTGAAAATTGAAATTAGATAATGAAGAAATTTCGAAATAGTGAGAAGTCAGACAGGAAAAGTTTTTACTAAAGAACCCATGCAATAATCATTCAAGAAAATATTACGAAAGGAAAAAATTCAAATAGTGATTGGTCAATACATTCATTGCCATCTGAGTACAGGCAACGTCTCCTATAACTAAAAGCCTCCACAAGGTTTCTTATAGGTAGTCCGATCTGACCACTATGAAGGTAAGCCAGTTTACGAAAGAGCCTTTTAATAAAAATCTAGTAAAAATAAGAAAGTGGTACCAAATATATGTCTAAAAATTTTGTTAATTTAAGAATATTTTGTTCCCACTGCCCATCTAGGTTAACATTTTTCTTCAATTCAGGCATTCACAGGGCAGATTTGTTGGTCTTTCTTTCAGGGGCACCATATTAGGAGGGCCAACGTTTCTCCCACAGTAAGGACAGATAGTACAGAAGAACATCCACGCCTTGCCAGGGATTCGAACCCAGAACCTTTCTAATGCAAGGGCAGTTTCCTAACCCCTACACAGGCCGGTCGGCTTTATGAATTTTATTGCTTTGCCTTATTTACTTGTCAACCACAACAGATTCAATTCAAATATATATGAGAAATTTCTCTCAATTACATTTAAAATAGAATTTGGGTTCATGCGCACAACTGGTTAATTTTTTAAATTGTCTGCGCAGACTACTTATAAAATATCGTGTGGAGAATTTTTGATGTAGGTGATGGTACTGGTGATTATACTATATCATTGAAAAGTGGTAATCTATAAAAATAAAATTAAGATTAGCGTTTTTTTTTAAAGTGGTTGTGAAAGTGAGATAAATCTCGCATTTTTAAACTACTAATAATTGTTTAATTTAAAGGAAATATATGGGTGCAAAAAATGGGCAGTAAATATGCAAAAATGCAATAGGCCAGAAAGGCTCCATAAGAATTTATGTCAAAAAAAATTTTGAAAAAAAAACATGAGTAAAAACATAAACGAAGCTATCAATAGAAAAACTTTTCCCACATATCGGAGCAAGTTGGCATCACTGTTCATATTGTGGAGAGGTGGGAGCATGCTGCCTGATACGCTTAGATACGTCAAACGTGAATTGAACAGCAAGCGTTGATTTGAGGAAACAATTGCGTTGAAATTGATTGCTTCACCCTGTAAAAAAAAATAGTCCATATAAGAAATTTTTCCGGAATGATAGATGTCCTTGTATTAAGTTGATCACTACAGTTGGGACATATGTATCCCACTATTAAGTACGGTCCGGACATATATGTCCCAGCCTCTAAATTGATAACCGCTTGTCAGAAAAATCTCAAATACTAAATTTGCCTTATTTGTGATCTATTTTGTCATTTTGAATAATAAACGGGACGAAAAATCATTTTTTAAAACTCGCAGTCAAAGGGTTAAAACCGTGTCTATCAGGGTAAAAAGATAAAACTGATAACCAAAGTAGTTCTACAGCAGTTTATTTGCGAGCGGGGTTATAATTGTTTGATTTATTTAATTCACCATTACTTGGTTAAAAATAAAATTATTTAGTTATAGTACTTTGAACTAACATTGATTATATATATGATTAAACTAACAATAATTAAAGTAGAAGCAACGCAAGTCTATCAAATTAGCAATGCCTACCTTTAAGCTACCGTTTTTTATTTATTTACATCCTGATTCTGATTTTGTACGAATGCTTTTATGAATCCCCCGACCCCAAAGGGTTAAATTGACACATATGAAGTGTTACTTTAGCAGACCTTAGCATTACTTTAGTAGAGACTTTTTCTGTTCCTGAGGAAGTACTTCCCAAGTGGTAGAGTAGATAAAATAATCATAATTTCTGAAACCAACATAGGGTTCCCACTGTCTGTAGTGGTAACAAAAGTGAGATAAATCTAAATGTTTTAACATAACAACAAAATTTGTATTTTGCAGGAAATGTTTGAGTGTGCCAAAAAAATGCCTCGGAAATACCCTCACTAAAATTTAATGGCACATTAACACACAATTTTATGAAAAAAGCACAAAAAATGCTCCGCCGCAAATTACAGTAATATTTTTAAAGCAGAAATATTAATTGAAGGTTCCAAAATCAGACCCTTGGCCCAATTTAATGATAGTGATGCTATTTAATCATATAGATTCAATTAATTCTTAACAACTTTTAATATTTTATCGATACTTATAATTCAATTTATAAATTTAAATTATGACACTGCAGTCTTTTCTCTAAATGTTCATAACTCTGATTTCTTATAGATGCTGTGATTCAGCCAATTGGTAGCAATTGCAGTAAATAGTTCAAAATTATTTGTACTTTTTTCTATATCGTAATTATTTTTCATTTTATTTTTCTTCTTGTTTTCAAAACTCATGATGAAAATTACTTCACGATTTCACAAATCAAGATTAAAAGGTAAAAGGCCTTTTCGGGGCCAAAAAGCCTTGAGAAATAACTTGATTATGTCTATGACTACCTCGGAAATAACTTCATAATTCCAAAATGAAAGCTAAATTTAAGCATTTTTCAGTAGTCTTGAAAACGTTTAGTTATCACTCATTAATTTTTTCCAGGTTGTGGGAACCTTGCTTACACCAGAGATGCCAACTTGCTCCGGACAGCGAATAATTTTTTTCGAGTGGTAGTTCATTAATTGTGATTCTTGGTTTAATAAATTAAATTTATTTGGCTTTTATCCACCACTATTTCTAAATAATTCGAAGGCTTATATAATTCGCCACATTGCTAAAGTTCAGTCATGCTAAAGCTATTATAAAGTATGCAAAGTTTATCAAATATTTGTAACTGTTAGTATAAAATTATATTTCGTTTCTTAAATAATTTTGGCGTGTCCGGAGCAGTTGGCATCTTTGTTACACTTATTTTTGTTTTCAATACTTGCTCATGTAAGCTTGACTTATTTTCATTTAGTGGTAGTCAAAATTTCATTAAATTAAATTCATAACAGTCATCACCACATTAACTGTAAAAAATGAAAGATAATACTACTTAATATCCATAATTGCTAGCAGGTAAGTCATAGATGCCACGTTCGAAGTGAAGCGATTTACTTTAGTTCTTCGTTGTTAAAAAAAAAGTGGTTCCTAAACGTTTAATAGCAATCGTTTAGTAGTAAACATTTAAAACACAAAACACCACGAAATCGTTGGAAAATAGTGGCGTTGCATATGAACTTTTAAAACATCTGTCTGTAGTGGTACGGAAAATAAGTTTAAATGAATAAAAAATAATGCGTTTAAATATTAACTTAGCTACCACTAAAACAAATTGTTACAAAAAAGCGTAGAAAGGTGGCAGCCCTGCAACTGCTACGCTTTTGCTAAATATTTTATAGAACGGTAAACTTTTAATAGTCAAAGCTTTCAAAATTTTAAAAGACTCTCCACGGAATAGCTAGAACAAAGTGGCGCTGCCCATAAACTTTTAAATGAAGTACAGAAGTACAGAAAATAAGTTTAAATGCCTAAAATATAACCACTAGAATAGCTACCACTAGAATTAAGTTTTACAAAACGCGTAGAAAATGGGCAGCCCTGAATATACTAGTAAAATAAATATTTGAACCGGAAGTCATGGAATGAAACGTTTTTAGGGCTAAAACAGTAGTTAACAGAAAGAAAAAACACTTTTTTTTATATAGGTGTTTATCGCAACTAAACTACAATTTCTACTTAGGCATTAGTGGGCTAGTATTCCCATTGCCTCTTGTTATTTTAATTTTCTTTCTGGAAAATTGAATGAATTATTAAGCGAAAAGTTTATTTAACACGTTCACGCCGGGGCGACCCACCGGTGGGTCATGCTAGATTGTCTCATCGGGCGGTGCACCGGAGTAAAAACTGGAAACAAATAAATTAAATTTTTTATTTTTTTTCCGGGAATAACAAAAATCCATAACTACCAATTGTTTTTAACGGATGCAATTTTTATATTGAATTGCTTCTTCGCCGTGATAAATTTCCTTACGGTGAATTGTTATTGTTGAGAATAGGTTAACTCATCCCGAATATTAACTAATATTGAAATAGTTCTTCTACCAGTATTTTCTATTTTCCGTCCCGCTTTCAGGCGCAACACCCGGCGTGAACGTGTTAAATAAATAGTTAAATATCTAAATCAAAGCATGCAAAATATATAGTCAGTTCTATTGTTCTTGAATTAATCGAAATTAAAGTTTGATATATCCTTATAAATGGAAATACTTTTCATCAAGTTGTTCGAACATTTTCTTCTTTATCACCTAATAATATATGTGTTTGCTGTCAATGATTGTTTATTGGATCGAAAATACAAGAGTATAGCCCCTAGCTATTTTATTGTAATGGATTCCTATGCGAGTATAATTATATTGAAATAATATTTACTTTCGACAAAATATAAAATAGTGTAATAAAATCTATTAACGGAAAGTTTCAGTATATTCATTTTAAAGCTTACAAAAAATTACTGCCTTATTAATTTTTAATATTGTTTTCAACGATTCGAAAATGCAAACACTTTTTAATACAAAAGTCTCATCAATAAGAGCTAAAAGCTAATTTCAATTTTGCCTTGAAGCGTTTTAAAGTGATTGGTGGGGTGATAATCATTTTTTCATTTTCATAGTTAAAGACTGTTGTAAAATAAAAATAAAAAAATTAAAAAAATAACATGAAAGCTCTTCAAACAAGTTATCGCCGTAAGAAATAAAAAAAAAAAATGTTGCGAATGTTATTTCTCAGAATTTGGTAGAAATATTTTAAAACAATATTTTTTAGTTTACTTTTTAAACAGAAAACAGATTTACAAAGGTTTTATTCTAACTAAATAATCATAGCCTAAAGCTGAGACGTTTGCATTTCTGAATTTAAAGCGCGAAATTCTAGGAAAAATAGATTTTCTGGCTAAAGATTTCTTTCCAA